ACGGAAGAACTATCTCACTCTATTACTTCTGCTATTGATCTATCGCAACACGGTTTTTGCAAAGGTAAATCAACTGTATCCAATCTTCTTGAATTCACTACTTATGTGTCTAATGGGTTTAAAAACAATCTTCGAACGGACGTGATTTACACTGATTTCAGCAAGGCATTTGACAAGGTATCTCATTCAACCCTTATATATAAACTTGATCGAATTGGCTTCCCTCCTATTCTTCTCAGCTGGCTTTCTTCTTACTTAGTGGATAGGAAACAAAGAGTAATTTTTAAAAATTGTACCTCCCGGCCAATACATGTCACATCCGGCGTACCTCAGGGCAGCCATATTGGTCCCGTCTTGTTTATTTTATTTATAAATGACCTTCCTAAGGTGTTGAATTACTCGAAATGCTTAATGTACGCTGATGATGTTAAGCTCTTTAAGTACATTAGTACTGCAGAAGATAGGGAGCATTTGCAAGCTGACCTAACCTGCATTTTCGAATGGTGTGAAGCAAATTCCATGTCACTAAATTTGAAAAAGTGTAAATTCATGACCTTCTCTAGAAAATCGTTCTATCCAAATTCGTATATGATATCTGACCACAATGTTGAGCAAGTGACCAATTTCATTGACCTAGGTGTAACTATGGATCCGAAACTAGAATTCAAGTCTCACATAAACTCCTGCGTGATTAGGGCTAGAGGATTGTTGGCTTTTCTTAAGCGCTGGGCCAAGGAGTTCAACGATCCTTATGTCACTAAAGTTCTCTTTACCTCTCTAGTTAGACCGATTTTGGAGTATGCATCTATAGTATGGAATCCTAGCTATCAAATTCATAGTGACAGGCTCGAATCAGTGCAGAAACAGTTCCTGTTATTTGCCCTCAAAAATTTATGTTGGGACTCGTCTAAAAATCTCCCACCCTACAAGGATCGCCTGAAGCTTATAGATTTGCCGACGCTTCAGAGTCGTAGAGAGATGCTTGGTGTTCTTTTTTTAATTAAATTAATGAACGGGATGGTCAGTAGTCCCTTTTTACTGAGTGAGATAAATTTTTGTATTCCTACAAGACCCACGAGACATTTTAAACCTATTGTGTTGAGTATTTGTAAATCAAACTTTGAAATGCATGATGCTTTTCGGTGCTTATGCCAAGATTTTAACAAGCATTATGATTGCATCGACATATCTGAATCGCTTTTTGTAATAAAGAAAACATTGCTCAACAAGTTAACTAAATAAACTAATATCTGCAACCGTGAACGAAAAAATTACACAATATCTATGACTGCTTAGTACAATTGTAACGGCTTCGTATATTTCCGCGACCGCGTAGGACAATAGGAGCAGGGATCGGAAACTCGGCCTTTCCGACCTCGCCCAACAGTTCGTCTATAGCGTGGAGCGGAAACTAGGACTTTCCGCCTGCCTCACTTACAAAGTAACGACTACGGGAACATGGATCGGAAGCTCGGCCTTTCCGACCATGATCAACGGCCTGTAAACAGGGCGGAGCGGAAACTAGGTCTTTCCGCCCGCCGCACACAAAAGTAGACTGGAGACAAGGCCTCGCCAGCTACCCAAATTGCTATTGAATATCATTGTTATCTTTACAAGTTAATATTTATAATTATTTCACTCTGTAATGTATCACACATACTTAAATATTCTAAATCTTTTTATCTCAACTGTCTGTAAGAAAACATTTTTCTGTAGACTAAATAAATAAATAAATAAATAAATAAAAAAGTGTGGAATATGAACCATTTAGCTATGCAAAAATCAAGGGTGTGGCTCGATAGAACTTCTCACGTTAATTTAAACTGTTTATTTGGCGCAAAAAATATAAAAAAAAGATATAAAAGTTTTAATTAAAATTTTTTGATTTTTTTAATGTTAATATCTTATGAACTACAAAACCGATTTAAAAACTAACGATGCCAAAATAAAGACAATTAATTTATCTTTCTGCTGATGTCCATAATTTATATGCGTTATTTTATTTTTAATACAAAAATACTAAAAAAAAACCCTTTTTTTTCGTAGAATAACCTTTTTTAACAAAATTTCATATTTAAGACAAAGGAAATTTATATTATTAAGAAAGCGCAAGTTTATTGTAATCTGCTGTTGACGTTTAAGAATTTAGTGTTAATTTAGTGATATTGAAAGAAGTTCTGGGCAAGTATCCTACGATATAACACATTTTCTGCATCTTGTTCCGCGTCTAACAACATCAACATTGTAGCTTACGAAAAACCAGGTGTTCATGGTTATGGTACCAAGAACGATAGAATACAAGATTCCGCATTCCCGCAGAATGACATTTGTGGCAATGGGTAAACATTGAACAGTTGTGAATTTGCAGTGAGAAAACGTGTTCTCTTCACGATTCACCAATTTCTCAAGCCATCTTTGAATATAGCAAATTAAGCACAACGTTAACAAACAGTATACAACCACTCTTGAAATGTGTTCAAAAGAATAGGTCTTATTAATTAACTATTTAGAATTTTTGTGTTTGTATTGCAGGTGCCGAAAAAGTGATAATAAAAAAATAAAAAATAAAAACTGCATTTGGGGGCTTTACCCCTACGGCTGCTGCAATTCAACACACGACACGACATTTTTATAAACTTTTTATTACAAATAAAACGTTTTTTACTTTAGAACGCACGAATTACTTCGATTTTCACTTGAAAGTACACAATACGTTTACAATACGTTTGCATTTGTTTCCAAACAAAAAGTTTGTTTACGTATTGCCATAAACGTCAAAGTCGGCAAAACCAAAGTAGCGGTTTCGGGAATGCGCCACCTTCAGTTCATTACACCATGTTATGGTACCTATAATCGATGATAGTTGAGATTACGGTTATGGCCATATATGAAATACTTCTATATTGGTAGTAAGCTAAAGCAGTGTTTGCATTATTCAACTTTGCGTTCAACAATTGCGTTCAACTCAACGCAGGGTTGCACGAAAAAAAGTTGAATGGCTAAATGTTGGCTGGCGACCAACTTTGTTGAAAGCGATTAGTTGAAAGGCCATTCAACCAAAAGTTGAAGGCAAAGTTGAACAATGCAAACACCTTTTTACGGCGAATATTTTGATATTTTTTCATATTTTGATATTTTTAGCCATTCAACTTTTTTTTCGTGCAACCCTGCGCTGAGTTGAATGCAAATGTTGAACGCAAAGTTGAACAATGCAAACACACTTTAATGCAGCGTTTTTGCTGCATTTAAAATTCAACATTTAGCACTTTCGAACATATGTTTTCGAAGAGCGTTCATGCTATCGCATTTAGCAAATGTACATTTACGCGAGTTCGAAATCGTATGCTTTTGACAAACAGCCGTGTTCCAGTCGCTTATTCAGATCCGTATCCATTACAATAAATTCTCACGGAAAAGATAATGTTTTAACCATAACCGAACATTTGTTTGTGTATATATTCATTTGTCGGTGCTGCCAATTATATTTTCCACACTTAATTAGGAAACAAAACAAACAGAGTTGATCACAAATTAATCCAGATTTCTATCAGCATCATATCGATGTTGAATTTGCGTAACTTTTCTTTATCCAAATAATGTAAAATAATAAATGAAATCTCGATCGGCGATCACTGAAACGCATCTAGCGGTTGTATACTCGAAAAAGCAATGTTGCCACTTTTTCTCATTAAACCATGTTCGAATCGTGGAAATTTTGGAAGATCACAGGGTTGCTTTTAGCATTTAGATTCTAAATGCAAAGATTGAGTTGCATTTAGTTGCATTTAGATGACGAATTTTGTATGGATAAATGTACATTTAGAGTAGCATTTAGAGCTAAATGCGCTAAATGTACATTTACGCGTAAGCAAAAACAGCCCATAACATCTCAATGTGTAAGCATTCCGAAATCAAAGCGAGACAGTCTAGTACTGTTTTTGTCAATGTATTGTGTACTTGAGTGCCGTTTTTGTAAATGTGTCGTGTACATGTTTCTTGATAAACGTATGTGTTCCTTTTCTTTCGTACGTGTTTATTGATATATCTGTACTGTAGTGTTTTCGGATGGTACTAGCCCTTACTGCCAATATCGGAGTATTACATATATGGTTATGGCAAAGGTTAAGGCAATGGCGTTATGGTATGTCGCCACTAATTTTATGGGCTGTTTTTGCTTACGCGTAAAAGCACATTTAGCGCATTTACCTCTAAATGCTACTCTAAATGTACATTTATCCATACAAAATTCGTCACCTAAATGCAACTGAATGCAACTCCATTTTTGCATTAAGAATCTAAATGCTAAATGCAACCCTGTGATCTTCCAAAATTTCCACGATTCGAACATGGTTTAATGAGAAAAAGTGGCAACATTGCATTTTCGAGTATACAGTGGCTAGATGCGTTTCAGTGATCGCCGATCGGGATTTCATTTATTATTTTACATTATTTGGATAAAGGAATGTTAAGAAAATTCAATATCGATATGATGCTGATAGAAATCTGGATCAATTTGTGATCAATTCTGTTTGTTTTGTTTCCTAATTAAGTGAGGAAATTTTAATTGACAGCACCGATAAATGAATATATACATACACGAATGGTCGGTCATGGTTAAAACAATTCAAATTTTTGTATTGAAGTTTTGGTTTAAAATTTATTTCTTCCTTTTCAGTAGGGTTTTCGCACATTATCTTCTGCGTGAGAATTGATCGTAATAGATACGGATCTGAATAAGCGACTGGAACACGGCTGTTTGTCAAAAGCATACGATTTCGAACTCGCGTAAATGTACATTTGCTAAATGCGATAGCATGAACGCTCTTCGAAAACATATGTTCGAAAGTGCTAAATGTTGCATTTTAAATGCAGCAAAAACGCTGCATTACCTTTATTCTTGTAATGCGATTTTAGTACATTCGATACGATACTAGGGTTCTGGTACTCGATTCGAGAAAGTATCGTTTTAAAACTAACGAGTAGATAATATCGGTATCGAATGCGAAAAGTATCGATATGGTATCGTATCGTATCGAAATTCGTGTTCCTAGTTATGAATTCAAGACGAATTAAATTAAATGAATTCTTGATAAAAACGTTACAAGGTAAAATCATTGAGGCAGTCTGACGTTTGGCATATAATTTTAAAATTCGAACTCAAGCTCACACACCCATTCTCATTTTTAATCTCAAACAACAATTTTGAACAATTTGGTTTTTTTTTATTTTCAATTTTATATGATTTTAAAATGTTTGCAAACGTCAGAAAAAATCATGGTCGACGAATTGAAAGATTGATTTTACCTTTTAATGTTTTTATCATGAATGAAATTATAACATTGTTAAATTTGCCTTGTATGAATTTCTCAAATGTAGACGAATTATTTTTTTGGTGTCTGTTGGGGAATATCACAGTAAATAGTGACCGCATGACCGGGGCTTAGCACCTACTTTACTCATATAAATGTAAAATTTTGTAATTTTAAAACAATAAAATGAGACTACGACCAAGTTGCCGCTCTTGGCTTCCATTATCTACACAACAACTTCGACTGCGAAATCTTATCAGAATAGAAGGTATCAACATTAAATGTGATGACGCTGGTGCATTAATTTATTATACGTTGCATCAAAGAAATGACGGGAAACCTCTTTATGTCAGTGAATATTTGCCACACCGTCAACTACAAAAGTGGGCGGAGATTATGTGCCAGAACGTATTTAAATCAAATGAAGCAAGTGTATGTGTTAAGATTTGGGCACGTATAACAACCTTAGCCGCGACAAAAGGGGTCGAACAATGTAACGAAACTTTACAAGAGGACCACGTAAGGTATGCAGTTTGATATACATATGTATGTAGATAATAAGCTTTACACACAATTTTTTGTTTATCCCACAATTCATCCACTCACAAATTATCGAATGTCGGCAGAAAATCTTATGATCAGGATAAGTTGCTTTTTGCTTGGGGAATTTCTTTATCGGGTCTACTGCCGTTGAGTCTAAAAACGAATGCTAAACTCGTTGAAAACACATTACTCTTCCACTTAAACGGAGAATGTTTCACCTCCGCAGAGCATTTGCTTTGGGATATTTCTCTGATGTTTGATGAATTAAAGAACAATCAAAATTCTTTTGAACTGTGGCAAGAAAATGGTCTACATAATGAATATAACTGTGTACTAGAATCTCGAGGCATATCAAGCTACAGCTATAAATCAGACTGGAAAGATATTTGCAATGATGGGGTGACCTCACGCTACATACGATTGTATTTTAAAAGATCTGATACACGCAAAAGTTATAATTTGCATCAGCTTTTGAAACTTCAAAAAATACAACGAATACACTTGCAAAGAACAAGGGAAAGCAGAGATTTTATTTCGAATATACAACGGCGAAGCATTAATTGTATAACAAAAAATCAACTATTTATTTCGCAAATTGCTTTAAGTAGACATCAAGCAAAATTTGCAATGGGTCGTGCGTTAAGTGAATTGTTTTCTGAACAGGCTCAAGCTAATCCATATACACTTTTGCATGCACAAGAATTAAAGAAGCAATTAGAAACATTGAGACTGAATCATCGACTTCTACAATCCGAGTGCGATTCATATTCCTCACGCATTGTTCAACAAAGAAATCGGCTAACATCAATCAGCAGAATCCGCCAACAGCGTCATTCATGGTTGCGGTCTAAAAATGAAAAACTGCAACTTGAAAAAAAATTATTCAGTAAGGAAAATCAGGAAATATTGTTTCTCAAGCAGAAAAGGGACGAAATCATAAGAGACATGGAACGGAGGAAGTCTGCGCTATGCGTAGGTCTACGTGAAATTTACCCGATCGAAAAGAATGAAAGTGGTCTTAATACTATAAACAAAGTACCATTTCCCAGTATGGATGCTTTAGTTAAAGATGATAGAAATGCATATGCTTCAAACATCGTGGCCAATATTTTACCCATAACTCTGAGTGTCTCGCTTGGCTATATCGCTCATTTGGTGCAGATGATTGCTCTCATTATAAACCGTCCTTTGAGGTAAATCAATTTTATAACTAAGAATTTTAAACGTACTGCAATTTATAGACGTAAGCAAAATGTAGGGTACTGTTTAGTAAGTGGCCCACCTATTTCGGGGTATTGCGTCCAAAGGGGTGACCCGATCCAAAAAAAAATTGCACACACTTGTAGCCAAGGGTCTTCCCATTATTTTAACATCCACTATTGTAATTTTGGGTCACTAATAATTGGGTTTGAAATATGCCCTTTTTTGTAAAATTCGGAAATTAGCGTAAATTTATCACTCCTATTCTCCTTAAAGCAGCTACATCAGCAATATATTTTTATATTCTCCTTCACTTTACACTTTACTCAATGAGCTATAACTTTCTTTATAACTTTAATAATAACCAATTAATCACAATTTATTAAATAACACCTTCTAAATCATGCGTCTGACTTTTGTTGCATATGCAAATTAAATGGCGTAGTTCAGCTGTCAAACTCCAAAATATGCAAAAGAATGAGAGACAAAAGAAAATAGGATATAACCCTGTAAGCATTAAAAATATACAAAGGTGTTCTCTGTAAAAGGTATTCAGCTCCTCTTCTTCGCAAAACAGAAAGGAGAATTCTACTGCCTGAGGGTTATAATGCCTAAGTGCGGCCGAAGGCCGCCTACGCAGAAAGGTGTTCTCTGCAAAAGGTGTTCAGCCCCCCTTCTTTGGCTACACAGAAAGGAGAATTCTACTGCCTGAGGGTTATAATCCCTAAGTGCGGCCGAAGGCCGCCTACGCACAAAGGTGTTCTCTGCGAAAGGTGTTTAGCCCTCCTTTTTTCGCCTGATAACCACCTTGGGTAACTTCTTTTATTTAAAAACCCCACAGATTCTGTTAGTTGGGTTATATTCCACTTCAAAGTGCTCAGTTTGCCTCGGAAAATGCCGTTTTTACCCTATTTTCAAACGGTTCCCTAGGGGTCTGTGGAAGGTCCCCAAGGGGGGTGGGGCTTTTCGTAAAGTGGCGACTGGCCCCTTTCGAATGAGGGGGGTTTGGGGGCCACGCCACCTCCCCCTCCGCCCCCCACCCCAAAAACGATGGGCCAATAACTAAACATTTCCCAAAATGTATTCAACAAAGTATGATAAAAACATAACAAGGTAAAACCAAGCCATATTTAACAAGGTAGAAGTGACAAGTAGCTCGAACTCTCTTTTAGCTAGTTGTAATGTCAAAAAACTGTAAACAAACAAATTAATGTGAGGTGCGCGTGCTATGGTGAAATTATACCAGGTGTAGTAATAAGAGCGAGATTAAAGATTTGACCCTATCTTATTTGAAAATGGCTTTAAAAATTTTGTAAAAGATAGTGGCATGTCAGGAAAGTAAAGCGAAAAAGTTTTTTTATTACTTCAGCTGCTTATAATTTCACCATGGAAATGCATCAGCATAAATACATACATATCGAGGGCTTATATTCAATACCCTCTTATCTGCAATTTTGATCAAAATGATTTTTTGATGGTAACGGGAGCTCCGATTAGTCTTTCATCCATGACAATAATGTCAAAATATAGCTTTAATGGTATTATATTCTCAGTTTGAAAATTCCACTATCTGCAATAACAATTTGTTATAAGAGCAAAATCCTCTATCTACACAATTTTGCTGGAAAATTGTTTTTATTAAAACTTTTTGTGGCAGGTAAGTTACATGTGCCTATGTATGTATGTATGTATGTACATATATGTTACCGGTAAAATCCGATTTTAGGTCAAACTAGTTTGGCCCAGGGTAAACTAGTTTTGCCCAGGCTAAACTAGTTTTACCTAATTCGATATATCTGTCCAACCGAAACCAAATTTGATACAACAAAAAATCTTCCATATCCCGTCAAACATAGAGTCATTAAACTCCATTACTCCATTCTATCTCAAGGGTCCCCAAGAGTGAAAAACTGCTATTATTAATCCTATTGCCAGATAAATATAAACAACAATTCATTAGTTTCCAACTACAGACCCATTTCCCTCCTCCCCTGCATAGCCAAAGTTTTGCGCTGGAAAAATGGTGAGAGGATGTACACAACCGGAAGTTCGCTGTTCGCGTCAATAACTGTTATTCAAAACCTGTTCCTCTCTTTAATGGTGTCCCACAAGGATGTTGTTGTTGTTGTAGCGGCACTACTAAGCCCCGCCTGTTTCGGGTCAACTTTTCAATCATTATCGTCGAGCTCAACTAACGGTAGGCCCAGGAAACGAGCAAAGGGAGAGGGGTGTTAGTTGAGTCGGATTGAGCTGGCATGTGAAGAGGTGGTTGGTGTCGTGGGGGGAGTCTCCACATGCCGGGCACTCATTTGGGATGTTTGGGTCGAGTCTGGACAGGTAGCTGTTTAGGCGGCTACAATATCCAGACCGTAACTGAGCCAGAGTAACGCGGGTCTCTCTAGGTAATTGAAGCTCCGTCTCTTCCACAGGTGGTGATTGGGCTCCGATAACGACATTCCTAGGCCTGGAGTCGAGGTAGGTGGAGACTGACTCCCTATGAATGTCGTTAATCGCTTGTCTGTACGTCATTGGGTCCAGTGGTTGGTCTGTGTATGTCTGGACTGCGTCCTTGTACACGAATAGGTGCCCCCCTGACGTGCCTGGGCGGAGGCTCATCCTCCAGCAGTGGTCTGTTAGGGTGTTCACTTCTGTGACACCCCACCAGAAACTGCTTACTGAGCATTTTATTGTGTTCCCGTACGGGGAGCACTTGGGCCTCGCTGTGTAGGTGATGCTCAGGCGTCATCAGAAGGCACCCAGTCGCTGTCCGGAGTGCGGCGTTCTGACAAGTCTGTAGCTTCTTCCACTGCGTCCAACTAGTCCCCGGTGACCAAACAGGCGCTGCATAATTTAGAACCGGCCGGCCAATTGCCTTGTATGTTGCCAGCAACGTTTCTTTGTCTTTG